GACAGAAAACGAGAAATTGAACAATCAGGTAATATAAGAATTTACAAAAAGTCAGATTAGCGAAAGAAATAACAACGAATAAACGATTTTAAAGTAAATTTTGAAAAGGGGTCATTTGATCCTGCTTGGTACGTTTAGTGTTAAACGCTGTGAAACGACATCTTCTCTTTTTTTTAAAAAAAATTCCAGAAAATTGTCGAACTGATTAATTAATTTCATTTGTATACCACTTCTTCAGTGGAGTTGCATCTTACTCTTAAACATTGTGGTTATAAGGGAATTCTAAAGACATTATTCGATACCTGCTCCGCATTAATTCACAGTCTTAAAAATATTCCCGAAACTATCGAATCGATACTTCTTCGGTGGATTTGCATTGATCTCGTTAACAAATTATCGCGTTTATACAACGTTCTAAACCACGATCCTTTCCCTTTTTCCTCCTGTGGGGTTAAAAAACGAATTTTATCAACGCGAGAGTAGAAATCAATCAAAGTTAGTCGCGCGAGTCTCGCTACCTCTACAGACCTACCTCTCAGCTGCACCGAGTTTTCTACTCGAAAAGCACGGCATTGAAATCTCTGCAGCCGGCGAGCGGGAGGAAAAAAAAAAGAAAAAAAGAAACGGAGCAGCTCGCGGTGTCGCGGCACGGAATCTCGTTGCACCGAATGATATTACTTATTAATCGCGAGAGATCAGCTTGCAAAGAGAGTCGCAGCGACGAGGATGAAGGGACACACTTGGGGCTGAAATGCGTGTACGCGCGGCGAAACGGAGGAAACGGCCGAGAGAGCGAGAGAGAGAAGAGGAAGTGGCCGATCGGTGCATGCCTGTCACGTTCTCTCTCTCTCTCTCTCTCTCTTTCTCTCTTTGTCTCGCGCGCGTTCGGAGTAAGAGTAAATCGCCGGCTCGGCTCGGCCGGTCTCGGTTCCGCTCGGTACCCGCTTCGAGTACTGTCACCGCGCTTTCAATAGTGGGGATACGCTGCGCTCCCACCATCGTACTCGGAGATAGCGAACGCGCTGTAGGCTCGAGAGGGAGGTGGGGAATCGCGCGAGTCTTCGGCGGAAGGTTCAATTGTTGGTGAACCATCGCGAAGAGTGGTTGCGCGTGGTAACACTCGGCACGGATAGAAGCGCGTGCTTCGTTTCGCGATCGGTGCGTGCACTAGGGGGCTAGACTTGTGCGTTCGGCGACGACGTCGCGCTTAACCGACCACCATCGTGCGAAACGTGCAGCAAGATGAAACGTACGCGCGCGTCTAACCGCCCGGCAGTGACGTGGTGAATCTGGTTTTGCTCGTTTTGGTTTCGCGCGAAGAGTAAAACCCCCGTAGTAAACGTCCGTGTTGTAAACGCGCAGTGAAACCGAGAGAAAGAGAGAGAGAGAGAGAGAGAGAGAGAGAGCACCTTCCCTTGTTGTTGTTCTTATCATTTTTTTGTTCCCCTCATTCTCGCCTCTCTAACGTGTGCACGCGGAGGATATTCACATCTCGCTGGCTGTGACTCGCGCTCGCAAGTGAAATCTCTTTCTCCTTTCTTTCTTCCCCTTTTCTGTGTGACTCGGCTCAACGAGAGAGAGAAAGATTACCGCTCGTGTGGCTTGCTCTGGTCATCCACCTTGGTGGTCGCGACGCTTCGTCGTACGACCACGGACGAAGACGAGAACAGTTTTTCTTTTTTCCGTTTTGGGATTACCCGAGTGCATCATTTTGCTTTTCGTTCAGTTGACGTACCGTCGACCGGGCAGCAGCGGCCATGACGGCGGACAGCTTGTTCGAGACTACCAGCATCCCAGGGCATCTCGCTCCCACGCCCCAGAGATTGGAGAGGCTTCTCTCGAAACAGACCCTCGAGGAGCTGTACGAGGTCGAGGAACAACCTTTCGCACGGTGAGTCCAGTCTTTGATTCTCTTTGCCTCGCTTCCTTCATCTTTCTTCGTCTTGCCTCGCCTCGCCTCGCTCCGTTTCGTTTCGTTTCGTTTCGTTTCGTTTCG